TGAAGAATATAAAAAACAGTTAGAAGAATTAACTGAAAAAATGGAAAATATAAAAATGAATACTAATCCATCTTCAAGTCATGATATAAAAGTAGAATTTAGTAGTGATGAAGAACAAGATTTTCTTTATGGTACCCCAATACCTGATAAGGCAGACATTAATCAATATAGAAAAATACAGAAAAGATATACTGGAAATGTAAGAAAACAATTCATAAAAGAAATAAATCCAATGAAATCTTATAATGAACCAATCCACACAACAGGAGTATGGTTAGATTTAGACTGTGTAGATAAAGATAAAGCTATAGAAACATGGATAAAAAGTACAGATTTAGCTATACAATTTAACAAATGGGAAACATATACAGCTTTTAGATTTATAGAACATACATTCAGAGGAATTGTGTCTGAATGGTGGAGAAAGTTACCAGAAATTATTAAAGGAAGGATAAAATATGGAACAAACAGAACTGAGGTATTAGATAATAGGAATACTCTAAATGAACAAAATATACAGGAAATATTAAAAAGATTTGAAAAAATCTTAAGAACAGAATTCTTAGGAGATAGGTATGCTTCTAATGAAGAAGAAAGAAAACAAGATGAATATAACCAAGGAATAATTTTAATGGAAAATTTAAAGATATGTGGTATGTGTGAGTTAGAAAGATATACATGTAAATTTGAAGAATTATACTATATACTTAATCAAGGAGACTATCAGGAAAATAAACTTATTTTAAGGTCTTATTTTACCAAGTTACCATTCCCATGGGGAATCAAGTTACTAAAAGAATATGAAAAATTACTACCTCTAAGAAAAGAGGAAGGAGTTGAAATAGATAGTCTTGGAAGTAGAATTGAATTTACAAGAAGAATGATAGGAATGTGGTGCGGAGAAGCACTAGAAAATAAAAAAGCTTATAAAATAAGAAAGAATTCATTATGTTGTTATAAAGATAATGGCCAAGTTGAACAATTTGGATGCCATAAGAAGAAATATAAACCATATAAGAAATATAAAAGGAAGTTCAAAAACTATAAAAAATTCGATAAAAAGAATTTTAAACCACATAAAAAATATTTCAAGAAAAGAAATTGGAAAAAGAAATTTAAACCAAGAAACATTAAAAAATGTAGATGTTTTATTTGTAATGAAGAAGGATATATTGCCCCTCAATGTCCTAAAAAGAAAGATAAACAAAATATAAAAACTCTTAGAATTTATGAAAAATTTCAAGAAGATAGTGATATAGAACCAATTGAATATTTTGAAGATTTAAGCAGTGAATGTAGTAGTATTTATGAATTAGATACATCTTCATCGGAAGAAGATTATGAGGAGATAATATATATGAATCAGGAGATACAACAATCAGAAATAGAAATAGAAACAACTGGAGAAGTTGAAGATTCTATAGAAGGTATTAATCAGGAAATAACTTTTGATATTAAAAAGTATGCAGGAATAACTAAAAAAATATTAGATCTACAAGAAAAAGATGTATTCCATCAAGGATTTTTAGGAATTTTACCAAGGGTAAATAAAATAATTGTAAGTATGAATTATAGAGAAATGTCTATCAACATAGAAGATACTATAGGAAAAGCAAGAATTCCTATAATCACAAAAGAATGGGTAAAACAAAAACTATCCAAAATTCCAGAAAATGTAAGGAACAAATTAAAATGTATTGAATTAGGAGTCCAAATAATGGTAAAAGGATTTTTTAGAGAAGGTATGAATATACCAATAGAAATATATTGTATGGACAATAGAATCTTACAAGATCCNGTAGTCATAGCCATGTTTCCCCCACTGTATGTCTAGGAGGAAATGGTCCAATGAATCTTCTTTAATATGATACTTGCTCCTACGGTACCAAGGTTGAAAAAATTGAACAGTCATTAACAACCATAGACGAAGGATTCCTTGACAAGTTAAGGATTAGTAATCGTTTGTAGGAGTTGAATGGGTTCGGTCTTATACATACGGTTACACGAGGAAGGTAGGTCAATCACACCTGTTGAGCTAGGGCCAGTACTAGTGAATAGGAAAAGTAATCGAGATTACTATTGACGGAGAATAGGATAAAGGAAAGTATGAAAGAATGCGAGATAATTCCACACTCCATTAGTGGTATTGGATAAGACCCCTTACACAAAAAAGTACTCTTTTTAAGTTTTTCTTTTCTTTTTCTTTGAGATTTTTCATACCCCTTACACAAACAAGTACTCTTTTAAGTTTTTCTTTTCTTTTTCTTTGAGATTTTTCATTAACCGGGTCCAGTTTCCTGTTTCCATTTAAAAGATGCTACAAAGGCATGGATGGGAGTACGTGTACGTACGTACGTATGTATATATCATAAGTGTAGCAACATGTTTTCAAGTAGTTTCTAACAAATGGACTTCAGTTTAATGAATTTGTTATATGAAAATCATTAGCATAGAAAGCTATTTTCATCTAAAACCAATTATACAGCCTCACAATATAACTCAAATTGCTCGATGACATTACTGTGGAAGTATTCTTGTTGTGTAGATGAGAACTAACTTGTTTCATGACATTCTTTTGTCATCGCTGTCATATTGTAGAAACTCTGGATCCAGAAGTCAAAATCTTGAGCCTGGCAATCAAATCCCAGGGTAGAGAGGATATTTTTCTTACAATCCCTGAGAATGGACACCCAAAAGGCCCGTGGTTTACTTTGAAGGAGGGTAGTCGTTATAGCCTTAAATTTACATTCCAGGTCAGCAACAATATTGTTTCAGGCCTCAAGTACAGGAACACCATTTGGAAAACTGGCATCAAAGGTTCTCTTCCCTCAAATTATGTGTTTCTAATTGAATATTGATGGACTTGTTGAAGTTTTTGATAAAATTTACCGTTTCACGAACATTATTTCAGTGGACAGTACCAAAGAAATGATTGGAACCTTCAGCCCTCAGTCAGAATCTTATACACATGAGATGCCCGAGGAGAGAACCCCGTCTGGCATATTTGCTAGAGGATCATATTCAGCTAAAACACAGGTGAATTCAACCATTGATCATCTCTTGTTATACCTGTTGATTTCTCATAGCTTTAACTCAAAACTGGTATACAGATTATTGTTCTCTTATTATCTTTAATTCTCTATAACAAATTGCCTTCGACCTTTCATATCAGAAACTTAAGTAATATGCAACTATTTGTAGTCAGATAGTTACTTCCATGAAAGTTAATTTGTTAATATAGAAGAGCTCAATCTCTGTGGATACATGATTTCATTCTTACTAATATTTTTATGTTGCTCTGATGTCATTTTGTGCAGTTTCTTGATGATGACAACAGGTGCTACTTGGAGATGAATTATACATTTGAGATCAAGAAGGATTGGCTGGCTACTGCATAACTTGAGACTTATTACTAGAAGTATTTTTTCTTTGTCCTCGAAATGTATCTCATTTCAGTTTTGAGTATTTTATGTCTGGTCATTGTGCTGTGATCACAGCAGCAGACGATACGAAAGGGAGGGAAGAAAGAAATTTCTTAAGATTGAGACGATGAGGCTGATAAATTCAGTTGTTAGGTTTAATTAATATGTTGAGTATCATTCAATAAAGTTGAACTTGACATTGACATTTTAACAAAATCCTCTGTGTTTGTCTTTCTGTCCATAATTCTCTGTCATTTTGCTGCTTGTCTGCATTCTTGCATATGAATACACTAACAACAGGAAAAAAAAAGTTTTTATTTATTAATAATTAAACCATTTATAAACACTTTCCAAACATGCTTTGAATTTTAGCGTTTCTTTCCCAAAGTTTTGGATTCTTGAAGGGAGAAAAAAAATCTTAAAACACTCTTACTATTCCTTTTTCAAGTGTCACATCCTTCAAAATTATTTTGTCCACTCTTTTACCATTTTGTACTATCTCAAACTTCCAAATGATTTTTTTTTTTTGGTAATTGAGAATGAATAGTATTTTAAAGTTACTGAAGAAATGTTTATATAGACCAACATTAGTAATTTGATCAATTTATCAATTTACTGTTTTAATTATGTTTTATTGATAGCTCTAAATTGTCAATAGTATAATTTTTTCTTAAATATAATTTAGATATTATTTGATCTTTACTCTAATGTCTTAAATTGTATTTTTTTTATTTTTATTAATAAATTAACTAATGAAAGTTATCTACTATATTTATTAATTTGATAAATCGAAAATTGACAGTGACTTTTATTTTGGAACGAGTAAGGTCAAGAAAATACCAGCTCCTCACCGTTATGAGTGGACGAGGCATCAAATTGTGTTGTTAAAGTATTTTTCATTTTGAATAATTTAAATTTAAGAAAATAATATCAAAGACAACGATATATGAAAATATTTGTATTTTAGAGTACTATCGAACATTGAAATGATTTTTAAGCATCATTGCTTAGTTTTTGCTTAGCAATAATAACTAGACACAAAAATTAATTGGTAAATTCATGTATGTGTCAAGTCACTCTTGCCTAACATAAGCTAAGTTGTTAGGCAACAATGTTTAGCACATTATTTCTAACTTTGGACAAGCGTAAAAAAATTACTTACCCTATTGACGTGGAGAAAACAAAGTTTAGAAACAAGAACCATTCTTGTTTCGAACCCTTTATAGTTTATTCTAACCAACGTTCTAAAGGGCATAATGCGTGGAGGTCAAGTTATGGATTAAGTGAGTTTAAGCGAGGCATAAACTTAAAAAGACGTTTTCTTATTTTAATTTTTAATCAATTAAAAAAATCGGTCAATAATTAAAAATAATACCCACTAAACATCTAAAACAAATTTATAGGAAATTTATACATTTTTCCGAAGTTTTCAACAAAACAATAAGTTCCTAATATAAATATTAAATAGTAAATAAATAAATTTTTTTTTGGAGAATTTCTTTGTTCAAGGATTTAAGTGACTATTTTAAATTTAGAACTAAAGAAGTTAAGAAATCAATATTTAAGTTTTAATTTAGAATAATTGTTTAAAAAATTAAAATTTAAAAAAAAATAATTATGCAAGTAACAATAAATTTTTCAATGAAGAGCAAATGAGCAATCGAAAGATAATGTCCCTATATGTTCGAAAATAAAAAGCACATTTACTTATTTTAACATATCCAAACACCCTCTAAACCTAGCATTTCCCAAACGAGAGCTACGATCCATACGCAGATACGCTCCGGCAAATTCTGCAACTTTGGTGGTAGACATATCGGCAACCGGCAGCGGTCGTGAAACCCCAACAGGTGTTAGTCTGATGGAGTTTATCCTTTATTATGTATTTTATTGATGTGTCCGATTTGCCTGGACAAATTGCATTCACTGAGTTTATTTTAATAAAATCCCCTTCTCTGGAAAGTTCCCAAAGAGCTTAGTCTCTCTTTCTCCTCAAAATTCCTAAACCTAATTCACTACAGGTATACTCACTCTTTTATTTGATTTTTTTCCCCCTGCTGTACCGTCTTCTTTTCATCCGGGTCTCTGTTTTTGCTGCTTTAGTAATTTTTGAATGTTCTTCTTTAATATGGGTTGTTTTTTCTTATTGTGTTTCTTTCATGTTTCATTTTGCATCT